AGCAAGCCGAGGTCCATGCGAAAGGCGGAGATATCCACAAGATAGCATACGCCCAGTGATAAAAGCTTGGTGCACACGAGGTTGAAGCGGATCCAACCAAGCAGAAAAAGCGTCCAAAAGCACACCTTGCCACGCACGAACAGCAGTAGAAGCTAGCACAAAAGGGCCCGTGTTGCATGGAGACACGAGGTTTTCCGACCAAAAGACACGCAGAGCAGCACGGCGTTCCTCCGCAACTAGTGCCGAAGTGCGAGCAAAGACCGCTGTGGGTTTACGCTGTTGAAAGGTTTCCAATTCAATGCTTTGAGGGTGAACGATTCCCCGAAAAAAAGTGCCATGTGATTTCGAAAAATGGAGGAAAGGCTGGTGGGGCGGCTGACACCCAATTTGTGTGCACACATCGCGTTCCAAGTCGATGCAAGCGGAGTCAAATCGGACAGCACAACAGGAAAATCCGCGGACATCGGCCGGTATGCCGGCATAAATGCAGTTGAGGTGGTAGCAGACGTGGGAAGCATGCTGTCATCTCGGGTCCCACAAGGCCAGCATCTCAGGAAGCTCCATGCAGAGGGTATCCGCCACAGAAATCACTTCATGGACCGCCGATGCAGACAAAAGCTAGATGCGCGAGCCTTCAACACCGCAACCAAGGCCAAAAGGGTCCCCCAATCTGCATCGGTGGTACCCATCAACATACGAAATTCCCAACATCTCCGAGGATCCTCACGTCTAGAGNTGAATACTGCTGCATCGCGCGTGATATAAACCTAGCGCGGAAAGCAAAACAATCAAATCGAAAGCCAAATCAAACTCATCAGAAAAATAATAAAAACTCATGCCAAATTCATCACAAAATCACGGTGAGACTCGAACGCATCCTTGGGCAAACTTTTCGTAAGAAAGTCTGCACGCTGGTACGGAGACGGCACGTGAATCACCGAAATCTCCTTCCTCTCTACCAGTTCCCTGAGAAAATGGTGCCTTACATCAATGTGGTTCGAGTTCGAGTTCGAGATGGGGTTCTGCGGTAGTTGAATCGCCCCCTGGTTGTCCTCAAAGACTGGGATGCACGGCATGCTGACCTTCGGCAACATAAATCGCCAAACCTGCCTCAAAAACAAAATCTCCTTCACTACGTCGCCTAGTGCGACATACTCTGCTTCTGTTGTCGAAAGCGTAACGCATTTCTGCGTTCTGGAAAACCAAGACACAACGCCTCCTCCGCATGTTACTATC